ATTTCATCCCTGGAGCATTTGGAAGGGTTTGAACCGCAAACCTTTTGGTCAGCAGCCCAGTACTTAACAGTTGAGCCACCAAGGCTCTTCCCAAAAGACGTAGTAAATCTATTTTTTGAGCACCTGCTGTGTGCTTGAAATTCTTTCTTCCACCCTGTTCTGCTGTACTCACAAATCTCTCAAGATTCAACCTCACCTTCTCCATGAAGCCTTTTCTGACTCCCCAGGTAAGATGCCTCCGTTTCTCCAACTATCCAGTAACTGGGAGAAGCAACACACATCCTCTCTGGACAAGCTCAAGTGCAATCCAGGCCAACAGAGATTGTATTCAGGCTTCTGATATGTAATATGCATCCTGATTTTAGATATATTGCAATGTATAAAAGGAAAGGAGAAAAAATAAAAGGCTTCCAGTGGAGGAAGTACATAGTTATTGTCCTGGAGACAGAGAAAGAAGAGGGTCTCCTGGACCTAGGCACTCACCACCCCCCACTGCAGACCAGCAGTGGGTGTGCTCTGAAAGACCTTTAGAGATCAGAAATAAAGAAATTTGGGTGAGTGGCTGGTTGACTTTACCCCCCCTTCGATAGCTTCAACTTATTCCCCTGGTCGCTTTTGGAGCACTAACCCTGGTGGTCACCCAATACTGAGAGGTGGTGGGGAGGAAGGGTATGCGTGCAGGGGATACTTGTCAACTGAGAGGTGATACCCACTCTTCCACACCCTTCCTACCATGTGCATGTCACATTAGTACTGCATTCATCACTCTGTACTAGGAGTCTGTTTCTTCCTCACCTCAAGACTAGAAGCTGAAAGCATAAATGCCCATCAGGAGGGGGTTGGCTAAATAAAACGTGGCATATTTACATGACAAAATACTGTACAGTAGTTAAAAAGAATGATCAAATATCTCTGCTTATCAGCACAGAATTTTTAAAAAGTTGGCATAAAATCAAGTTGGTGAGTACAAAGAACAATGTGATTACATTTTTAGAAAGCACACCCAAGACCACATTTTTTCAACAGGTACATTTATATGAATGTAAAACCATTCTCTATAAATCTGGAAGGACAGTGTGGAGAGACCACACCTCATTCTTCTGTTTCATCAGAGGTCATCACAGAGCCTGATACATATAGTAGGTACTCAGTTAATATGCACTACATGTCCTGAGGGATGATTCCAGGGCTCTCAAGGACATTCTTCCTTGTCTGGCTCTGCCTTCTGTTCCCACTCAGAACCCAGGGATCCACTCTGGCTGTGGCAGCTCCAGATCTTCCACCCTCCCCAGACCCAGATTCAGCCTCCAGCCTATTCTTCTGTACTGGGGACTGGGCAGCGAGGGATACCCTGGGCCCATCTTCTCTAGCCATGGCCTCACTCTGGTGAGGTGGACATGTTAAAAGGTGTGTATATGTGTGTGAGACCAAAGCAAAGCTGACTCGGCCACAGGCCATTAACTAAACTATCCTACTTTAGTCTGGGATCATGTGCTTCTAAATAAGAAGAAGCACTGGGTACTCTCTGGCCCTGTTGAGAGCTGGGAAAGAAAAGGAGCTTGGATCCTAGAAAGGTACTCCCCACTGGCCTGTTGAGAAAGGTCGGCCATCTTTCTGAGGGGACAAGCTTTTAAGGCCCATTTATAGAAGAAAGACTTCAAACGTAAGGAGTGTGTGTACTTTAACACAGACTTCAGTGTAAATGATGAAAATCTGGGTGGAAGCTTTTGATAGAGGCTAAAGAGGCAGAGAATGGAGCCGGTGAGAGAGAGAGGACACCCACTCTACATCATTCCATCAGCACAGTCCTCATTCAGCATAACATCTTTTAAGGAGTAGGCCCTTGCTAGCATTGGGCAAGTGCCAGAGATCCTGAAATGAGAATGAGTGCTTCTGTTAATGGAGTTTACAGCTGTGTAGGAGTCAGATAGTCAATATCTAAAACACTTTTCTGCCCTCCAGGTTATGCACATGTTGT